GTGATATTGATAATTCGTTGGTAAAAATGTATAATCCAATAGTTTTATCAGTGTATACTTTAAGAGAGTAAGAACAAAGATTTGACCGGAATAGTCTGAAGTCATTTTATTTCACTTGATTATCATTGGCTGCTTACAACTTGAAATATTAAGAATCATGGCTACAAAACGGTTTGAAATTGTTTATATTGAGGATGCCACAGGTATTTGGAGTTTGACAATTCTTTAACCAGTAACACCTTCTAATATGAATCGTACCCATCAAGTGAAATCAGAAGACAGAAGCGATGAGGTTCGAAGATATATTTGATAAGCTATCAATATATCGAGAATCGATTGATCTAATCTGGCTAGCGATTGCAGGGGATGTTGAGCACGGCGTTCCCACTCCTGATCTGGTGCGGATGCATGACCGAGCGCCTTCATCTAGGTGAGTCCATTAAAACTAATGTGGTCAGCACCCAATGTCGAAAACTTACAGAGCTATTTATTTTGGGGATTTATTTGCCGCTACAACATAAAGGAGTTTAATTGAAAATTATTTTGAAGACACATCGATATACTATATCAAGGGTATAAATAACTTGAATGGGCTAAAAAGTACTACAAAGATATACCTTATATGAAAGTACATTCTGTAACATTGATAGTAACAAAAGAACGAATAGATAAAATTAAGTGGTTACGTAATGATTGAACTCTGATAATCAGTAAAAATAAGATAAGTAAAACTCCGTTGATTAAGATAAGATTATTAATCTAGAAGACAGTTGAAACAAAATGACGCAATAATGTGACTAATTGAAAGAGTTAAAAAGTTCTATTATGTAATAAAGAAACGTTTGTTTCATCAAGGCAGAAAAAGGTTGACAACTATCTCCTTTTGCTCACGTAAATCAGGTTTCTAACACTTGATGGCAATGATTTCAAAAAAATTCAGAATGCTAGAGCATAGATGTTTGTTAATCACCTTGAAAAGTTTCAAGAGATCGACCTGATATCCTGTATCTAAGGTATGTTCAGTAATCGTGCAACTTTATGTAGTTCTTCTTCTTGCCAGAAGACCTTTTGTAAAATGTCCGAAAAAATCAATGATATGCCTTCATTTCTGTTAGGCAAATGTAGCTGCTTTGATGTCATATAGAAAGTTTATATTTTTATCAATCGCTTTCCGATTGACAGCTGACTGACATATCGTTAACTCGATAAATAATAGATGTATCCCAAAATTTACCTAGATTATCGATGTATGTTTTAACTTAAATATGTAGATGGATTAATTTTTGTAAGAGGATATACATTTATTGCTTGTCTGTACTTGAGTGGATTTGTTCCAGATAGTTCATGAATAATGGTTAAGTTACTCCCTTAATTGACTGAAGTTTTAAATATTATAACTAGGAACTTTACTAAATTAAATATACTAGCCTGATATGTCTTGAGGCCAATGACCTCTGGCACTTACCCAGTCATGAATCAGAATCCTGATTCTAATTTGATCTATTATTTGCTCTGTTTTACTCTGTGTTTCTGATTTAGCCAATTACACACTTGGTCAGCACGATTGACCTTAAGACGACAGCAACGTTTCTATCAGCCCGTCCAAAAGTCAGTAACCAGCTTCCGATATATCTGTACCGTTGTTGCTACCTTGACGTGGTGGTCGGGCTTGCCTATCGTGATGAAGCAACCGAGCTATACTGGCTGGAACAACCGTTCCTCAAGGTCCTACCATGTCAGACAGGTCGGTTGAAGAGCGGTAAGACTAAAAGCAACAAACCCAAGGTCCGAAGGCGAAGTCGTACTGCTGACTGTACAGAGGTGTGACAGCAGTAAGGTGTTTCCTTCAGACAACCAGCATGACAGTGATGCTGCCTTCCCACAAGGAGGGGTGGGGTTAGAAAAGGTCGACCCTAAAAATGCACACCTCACCTTACCTCACGGATTTCCGTCTTCGGCGGTAAGGCCCTTTGAAGAACGGAGCTAACACATCAAAAACCTTCCACGAAAAGGCCGTGCGCGACCGGCCTCAAGCAGTTGTCCCTTGGGCGCTGCGGTCACGCTCTCAGGTCACTGAGACCGCCTCTAATCCAATTTCCTTTTCAGGTACCTCCAGAAGAACCCTTCCACGGTGTGGGCAACCGGGAAGTGATAACCGCCCTCATACCTCTAACAGCACCCAAGACCACTGTATTCATAATCAACCTTCCTCTTCAATTCCTATTATTCCTCCTACATCGACTTTCAACCCTAAACTTCCTCCTTCGGCTTCCTCCTCAAGTGTCACCATAGCCAACGATTCTAGTGCTCAAAACTCTGTCCCAGGTCTACTGAAACCTCGCTCCAAACTACACATTGGAGCTTTCAACGTACGCACTCTATGTCAAATCGGTCAGCAGGCTTCCTTGGCTAAAACCCTAGAGTCTCTTTCCATTGATGTATGCTGTGTCTCCGAAACACGCATACAGGATCCCAGTGTGGTCATTCACTTGACCTCACCTCGGCAGAACGGAGAGCCAACGAGATACACCCTTCGTGTATCTGGTGACCCGATGGCCAGTTCTCGTGGACTGGCAGGTGTAGGCATAGCACTAAGCATGAGGGCGGAACAAGCACTGCTAGAGTGGATCCCCGTCAACAGTCGTCTATGTGCTGTTCGGCTGAACGGCTATGTAAGAACTCGGAAGGATAGGGACACATGTCGTTGCCTTTTTGTCGTTTCTGTCTACGCTCCCACTGACTGCAGCTCAGATGAAGTGAAAGATGAATTTTACAGAAAGCTTTCTGAACTTCTTCAGAAAGCTAAACGCTCAGACATAGTACTCGTAGGGGGTGACTTTAATGCTCAGATAGGTAGCTTAAACCAAACAGAAAGGCATTTAGGTGGATATTTTAGCATTCCGACACAGCGAACAGATAATGGTGATCGTCTGCTGCAGCTATGCTCAGACAATCGTTTATTTTTAGCAAACACAAATTTTAAGCATAAGGAGAGATATCGTCTAACATGGCGACCCCCTACACCAAACCAACGATGGACTCAAATAGACCATATTGCCATCAGTGATCGTTGGAGAGGGTTGGTAGAAGATTGTCGCTCATTCTGGAGTACCTGCTTGGACTCCGACCACGCCCTAATACGGGCACGCATCTGCTTGCGCCTCACTGGACGCAAAAAAGCCACATTAAAAAGACCCGTTAGAACTGAGTTGAGTAACGAGAAAACCAAAAGTAGGTTCCAGGAACAACTGAGGTCACACTTAGGTAGTTGTGAAGACGAGGCTGACCCAGATGTTGCTTGGAAGGGCACACAATCAGCTGTGGAAACAGCAGTGACATCTATTAGTGACTTAAACCACAGAGTTGCAAGGAACCAGTGGATTTCTTCAAGGTCTGTCACACTGATGGATTCTCGCAAACTCGTCCCATCAGGTTCTGAACATGATGAAGAGCGAAAACAAATCAGATCTAGGTTAAGAAAAAGTCTAAGGAACGACCGTGAGCAGTGGTGGGTAACGAAAGCAAAAGAGATGGAAAAGGCGGCGACTATAGGGAACACAAGACAACTTTACAGACTAATAAAAGAAACTGGAATTAATAAGTCAAGTGTAAGTGAGATTATTTCGGAAAAAGATGATACTCTCATCTGCTCCCAGTCCAGACGTTTAGAACGATGGGCGGAACATTTTAGAGAACAGTTCAGCTGCCCTTCAGCTACTCTACAACTACCCTCCATTCCCAGACAATGTGAATGGAACATTGAAGTAGGTCCCCCAACTCTTGCTGAAGTCCAAAAGGCTATAATTAATCTGAAGCGAGGAAGGGCAGCTGGTCCAGATGGATTGGCTCCAGAGGTCTTTAAGGATGGTGGTCCAATTTTAGCGATTAGGTTGACTAATATTTTAGCTAAGATCTGGGAATTAGACGTTATTCCATCTGACTGGTCACAATCACTTATCGTTCCAATATATAAAAGAGGGTTAAAATCATCCTGTGACAACCACAGAGGGATTAGTTTAACTAATATAATATCTAAAATACTAGCCTCGATAATTATCAGACGCCTAACTAAGACTCGTGAACTACAAACTCGAGAGAACCAAGCTGGCTTTAGACCTGGTTGTGGCTGCATCGACCACATATTCACCATTTGTCAGGTTCCAGCACACAGGCATACCTATCGGCGTCCGACGATGGTGGTCTTTCTTGACTTAAAAGCAGCGTTTGACTCTGTAGACCGCGAGACTCTGTGGCAGTGTCTGTCATTGAAAGGCGTACCTCAGAAGTACATAAAACTTGTGAAGGCTCTTTACTCGAACACTACTAGTCGAGTCAGAGCTTATGGCGAACTGTCATCTACTTTTGCAACTTCAAGTGGTGTCCGTCGAGGCTGTCCACTTTCCCCATTTTTGTTTAATTTCATCATAGACCTATTGATGGAAATAACACTCTCGTCGACTGAGTTCTCGGGTATTGATCTCCTTCCAGGAGGTCCACTTATCGACTTAGAATACGCAGATGACATAGTCCTGTTTGGTGAAGACGCTGACAAAATGCAGAGTCTTCTGGTAGCACTAAGCAACAATGCCAGAATGTTTGGGATGCGCTTCTCTCCCTCTAAATGCAAGTTGTTGCTTCAGGACTGGTCTGCGTCAACACCTGAACTAAGGATAGGGAGTGAAGTAGTCGAACGCGTCGACAACTTCACTTATCTTGGAAGTCTGATCAGCCCTAATGGGTTGGTGTCTGACGAAATCTCAGCACGGATTCGAAAAGCTCGTTTGGCTTTTGCCAACTTACGTCACCTTTGGCGGAGGCGAGATATCCGTCTATCAATAAAAGGACGAGTATACTGCGCGGCAGTCCGTTCTGTCTTACTTTACGGCAGCGAAACATGGCCTTTAAGAGTAGAAGACACCCGTAAGCTACAAGTATTTGACCACAGATGCCTTAGAAATATTGCTGGCGTCTGTTGGGATCACCGGGTAAGTAATAGTGAGGTTAGACGCAGGGTATTAGGGAATGATGGTAAATCAGTTGATGAGGTTATGAATCTTCATCGACTGAGATGGTTTGGCCACGTATTACGTATGCCTGAACACCGATTACCACGACGTGCAATGCTAACCGGTGTAGGGGATGTTTGGAAGAAAGTTAGGGGCGGCCAAACCAAAACGTGGCATCAGTGCTTGAAGTCACTAACTTCTAGTCTTAGCCATGTTGGTAGATGCAGACTACTTGGTTGGGGTTCGCGTGACTTTCGTAACCAATGGTTGGAGACTCTTGGTGACATGGCTCAGAATCGATCACAATGGCGTCGGTGTATACACTCCCTGTCTTCCCTTAAACTAAGAGAGTAAAATCACTTCGTATCTTTCTTTCTACGAACTAATTCTTCCTTCCTATACTATATCCTTATTGCAACCTTTGACCTAACCACTCCTATGAATCCGGTGTTCATCTTGTTGTGCTAATGAGGTATGGCAACCTGGACCGATGCACATATGTGCCTGGTCCTACGTTGTAGCTGACTGACTGACTGTACTTCAAACAGACGTAGCTTATATACAGAAATACCGGACCGCATCACACCATAAAATAAAAATTAGCGACTATACATAAGGAGCCCAAAGTGGTTGTGAACCGAGGAAACTTAACAACAGACAGGTAATAAATTAGAAATAGTTAGTTGCATGACAGTAGTTTATGGATTAACTACAGTCTTAAATATTAATGGGAATATTCAAACAAACAATACTCAGTAGATTTCTGCCTATTTACATTTATTTTCCTGTCATAAAACATTTACGCCCACACATTATTCTTTTCACTTGGATATTATCATTCTTTCTTCATTTCCTCTTTCTTTTTTCTAGAGCAAATCTCTAATTGAACAAAAAAAGAGTATTTGGATTTAATTAGACTATTTTAAAAATCATGTAAGCTAGAGAAAAACAATTGAATAATGAACATTCATGTAAATGATTATTGTAGGAATTTAAATGGGTATATTTAGATCGTGTCCTATCCTAACGAAGAATAAATGAATGGTAACTGCTAGGAATTATTCATAGACTATTATTATATATATATTCTTATTGGATAACTATTACGTAACTATATTATCGTCCATTGGTTGAAGTTAGACATTAACACCGTTGGATTCCGGCTCAGCGGTCTAGTTTGTTAAGCCCCTGGCGCGAGACTGATAGGTCCTGAGTTCGAATCTCGCGGGGGGCGGGGTCGTGGATGTGCACTGCTGAGGAGTCCCGTTCTAGGGCGAAACGGCCGTCCAGTGCTCCCAGGTTTTCCATGATGGTCTAGCTTCAATTGACTCGTGATTTCAACCAGCGAAATATTCATATTCCGTTTATGATAAGCTTCCATTTGACCTATTGTTTAGTGTTATAAGATTTACTATTCTTAAATTATTCCGGCGAGACTATAATTTATAGATGAACCGATCAGATATAAGAGAACGAGTCATGGATTTTTGTGCGAAATTTATCCATACATTTGTCAAAATATCGTTTTGGCATTATAGCTAATGTCAGTTCGTGATGAAAACCATAAATCTAATTCCTAACCATAACTATCAATTGTAAATCATAATTCTAGTTCCTCACCCTGATTTATAACCCTCATTTGATCCTAGTTGGTAGGTAGACATTCTCAAGGTCACTCAAAGGTCGTCCATAGATTCTAGTCTCTCCGTTATTCCCAATTTATTAGTTAGTCTGTCACGCAGCCATATTTGTCTTGATCTTGTATAATTGTTATTTTCTATTTTATAGTGTGATGCGGTCTGATTTTTTTGTATGTAGACTGCGTATGTCTGAAATACATGATTTATACAGCGGAGGCTGAGAATTTTTTCTGAACTCAAACGGACGGGGTTAGGCGAGGACCAATAAGGACTGAGAGTTGACTCTGGGCTACTTGTACTAGTTAACACATCATTGGTTTGGTATGGTGTCAAGATCGTATAAGTCGATGCTCTAATTGGTGATTCCGTCACGTGATATTTGACAGAGCCATAAGGTATAACAGAAAAACATTTTTATTTATTGGCAAAAAACGTTGGACAGTGAATATTTGAAAATAAAGCAGCATTAAACAGTTATTTTGTACACATTTTGTACTCTTCATTCATGTTCATTTACTACTCCATTCATAGATTAGATATGAAAATTACAGGTCTTTTGATGGAGGTGGTGTTGTTAGATCATTTCGTCGGAATCCAATAATGAACACTTTAAAGTTCAGTCAACTGACGGTATATCATAACAGCCATCCAATGTTACTAATGATTGACTGTATGATTTAAATCGTGATTGAATTCATTTATCAGAAGTGGTTTTGTGGATATTCTAGTAATTTTAACAGTTGCAATCATAAGTCAATTGAAACTAGACCACCATGGAAAAACTGAAAGTACTGGACAGCCGTTTCGTTTTCTATGATGATCCAGCTTCAGTTGACTCATGATTTCAACCATTGAGATTACTATCATATTCACACACAAAAAAAGCACTTCTGATATTGAGCATTAATTAAGCTTCATGTCTTTCAGACAACAACAAAAATACTAGAAAATTGACAATAAACTTTAGATAGATGGTTCCCCTTAATTTTTAAAAACAGCAAACTTTTTCATGTTTTACCAAACAAACAAAAAAGAAAAAGAAAGAGGTTTATTTAGATAATTATTAGCCCTAGAGAAAACGAATAAACGAAAAAAAATTTATAATCAAATAAATATGAATAATTTTTTTTTGATTAAGTTCTATTATTTGAACTTTCTCGCTCATTCGTATTCCCCCCTTGCACGTGCACACACACACACACACATGTACTCATTTGCTCTATTTCTTTTTATTTTAAGGACATAGATTTTCTTCTGTATGAGTATTAATAAAAGAATAAATTTAGTTTCATTAAATCATTTAACATGGAAATATTCTCATTTATGAATAAAGGTCAAGGTTTTTAAATGATTATTGGATAATATTTTTTGTTGAGATGGAAACATTACTTAAATAGTAATCATTTACAGATTTGTGATTGATTTTCTAATATCGTATTTTCTTATTATTAATATCCATTAGGGTTTCCCCTCGTGGGTTCGAATCCCATCCCCGTCGCCAAATTTGCTAGGTTTGAAGCTATCACGAGTTCACTTAGTATGTGAATGAAACAAAGACTTGTGACCGTAGACCAATAAGCTAGCTATATGATGCGTCCCAGCCCCGCTAACTAGAGGAAGAAGTCCAAGCTTAGAACGGGAAAGTATATTCCGTAAGCCAGAAGCACGATTGAGTAATAACAGACACAAAGCAAACGTATATATATAGCATAAAACTGTCCTTGGGAAGCGTAGCAAAAATAGCATACTAAAAATACACAACGGACCTATAGTGTTAAAGATTCTCCCAAGTGGGAAATACGACATGAAGGTGAAAAGTGCGCTTTTGGCGCGAAAACAATGAAATTTAAACTACCGAAATAAAATTATAAAATTAAGGCATTTACCAAGTGAGTTCTGGGGATCTAACATCACCAACAAAAACTACAATTATAGATTGCTTAGTAGATCAACTTGATGTAGGTGTTGGTAACAAGTTTTCAGTATATTTTTCAGTGGCATACAGAATACGCTTATAATAATAGAGTGTAGGGTCAGCGAAATGTCACTATGCCCTAGCCAAATCATCCGGCAGTTGGATCATTGAATATCGAGTAAATCATCGGTCCTCGTCAAGGTCAGGGACAACCAACGCACATCAGTTAGTCGTATGCCATGGACTGGCCCATGCGGCAGTGGTCTTACCTCCGCTTGTATCTACTTTAACTAATATATTTCTGTAATAACGTCCTCTGTGTTGTACGGTCTTCAAAGCATCTATGGTACCTTGATACGTCAATGGGGTAGTCCACGTAAGGTGCTGACCACGAGGTGTGACTTCGACGTTAGCTAGTTGGTCCCACCATACACGTCTAACTCGAGTAGCCCTCCAATCATTTTGACATAAATCATCTACGCTGGTGATCTACAAGAGTCTGATCAATTATGGTCCTGAATATTTATAACAGGAAACTAAAAACCCTTAACAATATCTTCATACATATTGAATTAGTTAGTGGCTATCTGAAACCAGCAGATCAGGGGATAACACATTGAGATTTGAAGTAAAAGGTACTGTTTGGGTCAGTGTGAACATCGATATCATTGAAGATCCAGAAACATTGGATGGCTGTTACAGACCAGTATCAGACTTATCAACAGTGCATACTAGTGACATCAATAGAGGTTTAATTCAAGACTTCCATGTCCCATAGTAAACAAGTTATCTTTCAAACCACTGAGTTAGCATCCAGTGGTTATTATTCAAGTCAACCTGCAATGTAATATAAACATCACTTTTAGATGGCAGGGAATTTGTAGCTCAGGTGGATTATTTTGGTGAAGTTCAGTTCTCTGAGATGGATGGTTTGGTAATGAAACTCTAATTGATCTCCTGATCTACATCATCAGCACAAACTATGGACAAACATTCAACCAAAAGATGTTGGAAACTTGAATCCAGGAAATACTAGGAACACCATAGGACTTTTAGAAACTTGGCACTCAGTCCCATCAGCAATCAATAAACACATTGAAATCAATCAAGTTTATTAATTAATCAAAAAAAATCCATGAACAATTGTAGGACCCAAAACCAGAGAAAAGAGAGAGACTCAAAATTAAGATATACATAATCACAGGTTAAAGGTCAACAATAATCAGACAAGCTGTGAGTCATACGTGGAGAAATGTGAATACTTCGCTTTTGACTGAAGTTCCTACTGATGATGTTGATCAGTAAAACAATGAAAACTTCACGACCAAACTATATATGAACCCTAAAAGTTCCCAGTTCAACTCTTTTTATGATCTTGTATTCAAACTTTTGAAAACCATCTTTCTAGTACTCCCTGGGTTATTTTTTGTTTTATTAACTTCCTAGCTTATCCCAATAATATTACTGTACACCATCTTCATAGTGAACACTTTTTCGATATTTCCCTAGATAAAATTTATATTCAGAAAAAAATTCTTTTCGAATATTTTTTTATTTTATCATTGTTTGTTGAGTTTGTTGTTGTGTATAATGTTGTCACTGTAGGTATTAAAGAAAAAGTCGCGAATA